GTGGTGCGCGTGTAGTCGCCAGCTCCTCGTGACCATGGGTGACTGTCACATCTCGGTCCACTGATAGAGGCTTGCTCACCTTGTTGGCTTGCCACGCATAAATCCATCCACCCATTTGTACATCAAACATTTAGTGAAACCCTTGCCGGCCAGGTATGTGATGTAATGAGTTAGTCTTTGTTTCTGCCTTTGTAGGATCCACAGACAGGAGGAAATTTACCCCCCACACACACACGTGTGCGCACACACACACACACACACACGCGTGCAGAGCCCAGTAGAACTCCGGTACTATGGGGTTTGTCTAAGAGGCATATAAAAGAAGCGTGGAGGCAGCACAAGGAAGAAGCAGCCCATGGTGCCTGGTCGGACAGGGAAGGTTCCTGGGGCCAGGTCACACCGTCTGCGTTTTCCCCCTAGTATGACCAGTGCGACCAGAAAATGGAGAGTTTCTGTTGAACGGTTTCAGTTATACAAGATGATTGTGTTTCAGAGATCTGTGGTACAACTTCGTGCCTGCAGTCAACGATGCTGTGTTGTAGGCTTAGACATTTGTTGAGGAAGCAGATCTCACGTTAGGCATTCTTACTGTCACGGAGGAAAAATAAGTACTTAAATGTGGCAAATCCGTGACGTTGCCAGACACTCTTAACCCCTCCTAGTGTTTAAACACTTAGATGGTGGTGTGACTCTGGTACCAGTAAAATTATAATCGCTCGCTACTTGTTCAAGAATGATCCATTTTCTTCTTAATTTAGTTTGTATGTCTGCTACTTCTTTCCATGAAAGGAGAAGATGCAGCTACTAATGGAATAGTTTAAAAAAAAAATACATGGGAAATTAAATTGTTGAGACTACCCTAAGTTAATAGACTCCTGTGACAGTCAACCCCATGGGTGGTCTCTGTAAAAAAAACCTAAAAAGAAAAAAAAAGGCTATTACATCGTAATTATTTTTGAATGAAGATTAATTGCTATCAAAAGAAGAAGCAATCATAATAGAACCTTCTGTATCCCATCCTTGCAAAATAATTTCATTGACAGAAAGATCTAGGACAGTTTTGCACATGGCTGATGAAACATCTGTGTTGCCACGGATTCCCTTCCTGACTTATTAACGCCCTAATCTAATGAGGAGATTTCAGCCAGGGCTGCAAAATTACTTCTCATTGATTCGGCTGATTAAATATTAGGCCGTACGCAATCCAGTTTTCACGAGGAAGATCCAGCTATTTCATTAAATCGCCATTCTGTGGAGCACCGTAATTATTTTAGGAAATTACGCTCTGGATCACTAACGTTTGCAGTTCAAACATCTGCATATTTGGGGTTTTGTTAGAAATCAGTGAGATACGAACACGTAGAGATCCCCAATGATCCCACAGAAAAAGTTCCAGTTACTTCATCATTAGGTTCAGGCCGGGGAACTCATCACTGAATTTTTATGCTAGTTTAACAATGTCTATACATTTATTTATGTTTCAAGAGATAACTAGCTCTCATGAATCGTCATCTTAGATGTATCCCGTAGGACTTCGGACCTTCAGCTCTGATCTTTTGAGATCTGATCCACCCAGTGTTTTTCTAATATCTGTAAAATGGACGTAATATTTATTATTTTTAGAAGGCTTAAATATCTTGATGAATACCCATTTTGTTAAAATGTGCCTTGAAATTTGAGATCTCGTGGGCTCTCTGTTTGATAAATCTCACAGGTAGGATACCCTAACCTGGGGCAGACCGGAACCTTGCACAGTAACTTTAGTGATTTCATGCGACTTTCAACGTGAGTTGGGCTTGACACATTTAAGATCTTGGGATCTGCCTGCCCGTTTTTGTGAAAGGTGCCTGAACCCGGTCCTGGGAGCCCAGAATAGTTAGTGACATATTTTTTCTATCTTTTGCTGAGTCCCAGAAGGAATTGTAGAGACGAGAACTTGAACCGGGGAAGTAAGCAGCCTTCCCTCGTCTCAGCGAAAGGGGAGCCGTCCTCACTGATTCCTCCCGCTCCCTTTCAAAAGCGGAAAAGCCCTGACAGCTTAAGGGCCTCAAGGACTATAAAGAGTCTCCACGTTCAGTCGAAGGAAGTTTCCAGAACATCGGGTCCGTTCCACATGGTCTGTTGTACTGAAAAAAAAAAAAAAAAACGAAGAGGAAGAAGAAAGGAAGACACAAAGCTATGAAGGCAAAGACAGCGAGAATTAGAAGCTGGGAAAGACAATGTGATGGCCAAGCTCATGTGGAGTAAATTAAGGATTTTTCACCGTTCGTGTGTGTGGGGGGAGTGTGTGTGTGTGTGTGAGAATTCTGGATATTCATTACTGGTTAGCCATCTTGAAGATGTGGAACTGTTTCAGGTGACTTTGAAGACTGGCTCTGTCGAGGTGCCTGTTAAGTTTTAGTTATTCCTGGGTCTCGGTAGCAGAGTGGGCTCACAGAAGTTGGGACAGCTCCGTTCTAATAATGACAGTGACGATGGAAAATTGCGCAAATCCTTTGAGAAAGATTATCCGTTGTCATCAACAGAAAAGGTTCGCATTAAATATGATGCCAAGACGTCTGCAAAAGAAACGTCAAAATACTTTATTTTTAAAATAGCTGTTTATTTGCCTATCTTCTATCACCTTGGTAGACATCTGTCCATTCTCATCCTGTCTTGTTAAATAGCATTTTAATTTTGAAATGTCAGGTTGAATAATTTCCTTCTTAATGAGAACTGTTTTTGAAATGGCTAGCAAATCCGATTTTATACGTTACGAAAATTACTAACTGTCTGTATTCTCTGCTGGAGCACAGGACCTGCAAGGGAAGAGATTCTGTGTATGTCATTTACTATGGAACCGAAGCCCCTAGACCAAGTCTTGGCACCTGACACGCTCTAGATATGTTTTGTTGGCTTAATTCATTTACCATCATCCTTACACTTATTTGAATATTTTTAATTTATTAAAATTATTCAATAAAAGTGAAAGCGAAATAAATATGAAGGTATAAAATGTAAATCAATGACAAGGCACACAAGCAGGATGATAGCACAGAAATAGAATGACAGCAATGAGAGAGAGGCTTGCTTGTCTTTGGACCTCTAGTTCCCAAACGGTGCCCGGCACACAGTCGGTCCCCATAAATATTTGGTCCTGACTGACTCAAAAATTTGGGTCACACAGTAGGTATGAAATGATCGCATATTAAGAAAATTGTAGAAATAAGAACCTAATTGAATAAAAAATGGCATGCAAAAGCAATGTGAATAAATTTGATGATTTTTTAGGATGTGTTTGATATGAAGTATGGGGGAAAGTTCTAACTCAGATTATGGTCTAGACCAGCGGTCCCCAACTTTTGTGGCACCAGAAACCAGGGCTCCTATGAGCGTCTAATGCCTGAGGATCCGAGGTGGAGCTGAGGCGGTGATGCTGGTGCTGGGGAGCAGCTGTGAATATAGGTGAAGCGTCACTGGTTCACCTGCTGCTCACCTCCTGCTGTGTGACCCGTTCCTGACAGGCCACGGACTGGTGGACCCAGGGGTTGGGGACCCCTGGTCTAGACTCTAATATTCTAAGTTAAAAAAGCTATTTTAGGTAGGACATCTCTTGATTGAATTATAAATTACTGTGATTTTTATTTAAAGCAATCTTCATTTGAATCTATTAATGGCCTGAAGATTTAAATTTGAATTTTACATATAGAGTAATTTAAAATACCTATTATACGCTGTGTTACGACTGTGCATTTAATACATTTACCTTTTTAAGCATACTGAATTACTTATATTGTCGCTTCCGTTCTAATGGACTGCATGCATATATATTTTTTCATTTAGTGCCCCAATGCCATATGTGATTGGAATCCACTCCAGCCTGACAGAGGTGAGTCTCTCAGATGTGACGTAGTGATAAACTGATTCAGGAAAGTAACAGTTTAAACAGTTGTACTTTGAAAGAATATCAATTGACTAGTAGAAAGCAGTGACCGGTTTCATGTTAGAGTGTACGCACATAAAGATTTTCAGAAAGGTAATGTTGAAATAATTTTATTTTAATTCATATATTAAATGACGATCTTCAAAGACAAGAAACCCATGAAAATAGGTTACATTTGGTAAAAGTCATATGACAAGTTTTAAAGACTGAAAACTTTAGTCCTTGATAAATCCCTTTCTTTATGGTACTTGGGATCTTTTATATCTATTTCTTTTTCAGACTTGTATTTTGAAAGTCAGAATTTTTGTAATCATGAGTCATAAAGGGAAATGTTTTTATTTTACAAACTTCGTTTTGATCCATTTATCGGTGTGCTTTTTCAAAATGGGTTTTAAGACACTGATCGTGAACATTTGAATTAGAATATGGCTTGAAACATTTAACATTTTTTTCAGCCTTATTGGAGCTTTAGAGTGTAGTGATCATTCTGGACTGTCGTCACCTCATTTCAAAATGAATTTTGTTCCTGGAGTCATCACTAAAGTAAAAAACCTTGAACTTTAAACACCTTGAACTTGAAATCAGTGCCATTTTCAGAGAGGACTTCTTAGAAGGTCAGCATGTAATAAAATAAACAAAAACTTGAACAAAGCTAAAGACGTGGGTTTGTCGCCTGCCATCATTATGCTGGCTGATTTCAGTTTTAGTCAAACGGATTTCTTTTTTTTTGCTGGTTGTGCATTTTGGATTCTCACCCACTTTGTAACGAGCAGCCGAAATGAGTTAGAGTTGGTTTTCACATTAGTTGCTGTCACTGCGTACGCCATCAGTCCTCACTGTGTTGATCAAGGGACATCCTGGTTGAGGATTTTGAAACTGAGGGTCAATTATGGAGAGTGTCCTGGTTTGTGGACCCTACATGTGCTCAGGTTTGGGTTGTTCTTTTTACCTTTTTGCAAAATGCCAGGGCAATGTTTTTATTTGTTTAACCTTTAATAAAGAATACATTTTAATGAGTTTCTTTAGGAGGTTGAATTTGTTCTTAGTGTTGAAGTCTGGGTTGGATGACATTATGACTCTTATATTTTGTTATGTTTTCAAAAATATGTTCTTACATGCCTAGATACTCACAGTGAAAGGACAAATTGTATAAAACATGAATGAATAGGTATTTAATTTGTTATTAGATTGTGGAATAGGAAACTGGCATTTATTCATCAGCAGTTGGACTTTCTGCAAAATCTAAGCATGGCACCACGCTTGGTTGGTATGGTTTCAGATTGATTTTGATATTAGCGCACGTGTCCTTCCTTATTTAATGTATCTAATATCTAATAGAATTTGTAAATTTTACGATATACTTATTACTGCTGATGAAAAATATTTAAAGTTGTCGATTGTACCTGTTGTTATATTGTCTATATCAACTCTTGAAACAAATGATTTGACTTTCTCAAAATATTCTAGGGAGGGGTATATGTTTTAAATGTGCAATTACATCGATCACGTTATTTCTTGGACACCTATAGAAGAAATGAGTGCTTTGTTTAAGGAGCGCGTTTAAGAATTATTTCCCCCTTAAAGTACTATGGTGGGGAAACAATCCGTTCTAAGCTTAAATTGGCTCCATTCCTTCAAGGAAGTGTGTACAGCGCGGTTAGTTTGGCTGGAATCTCTCTGTACCTTACAGACTCTGGAATTGTCCAACAGTCGTAAGTCAGCTTGAGTTTTCTAGTGAAGGAGAAAGTATACTAGAAACTTCTTTAACCTGGATGGATACCATTTTGTAACTTACTCCTTAATCTATTACCAGATGCTACACCTCCTGCAGTTCCATCCCTATTATATCATTATTAGGTGGATTTTTTTTTCACTAAAATCTTGATCTTTATGCTTTTTTAAAATATGAATGTTATTATAATTAAAATATAGATATATCCATTTACATATTTTAGATGTGAGAACAAACTGAGTAATTTTTTGTATTTTGTGTGACTCCAGGTACAACTAATTTTTTTTTTTTTTTTTAGGAAGAGTCAAAATATTCTTTTATTCTCTTGGCAAAGAGAGTTTCAACACATTTTATCAGTTCGCGAAGACTCCTAGATGCAATTATTCAAAGACATGAAATTAACGTTCTTTTAAATCTTGCTTTTAATTATTTGTATGTGACCATGAGTAAAAGATGGCTAGAAATCTCTTTTTTAAATGTAAATTTGCTTCTATATAAAGGAGAAATACATTTTGTTCCTCCTGGACACTAGACTTTTGGGACGAACTCAAAGCTAAGGCCATTACTTGATTGGGGATGAAGTAGTGGAAGCTAGAAGTGTGAGGGTCCTAGTTATTGTTTTAATAGACAAAGGATCCTAAATAAAATATCGACCCAATTTCATCAGATCACGTGATGGCTGCCACTGTGTCATTTCCTTGCATCCACGTGCATGAAGCGCGTTCGCAGTCACACTGCACGGAAGGGTCCTCACGCAGAGCGTGTGAGGAAGGCTCGCCACCTCTGGCACCTTCCTGTTGGACTTAGTAAGACTTCCAGTCTTCGGACTAATATTACGTTCTTAGTTTTGAAGAAAAAGTAAATTATCTTTTCACATTTTCTTACTATTTCTTCATCTAAACAAGTTTATGAACTTTATGATAAATGGGGGTGGGGTGAGGGGAGAGAAAGACAGAGAGACAGAGAGACAGAGAGACAGAGAGACGGGGGGGGAGGGAGGTACCATTTTATGTGCCATATGACTTTCTACTTCTATTTAAAAAAAAAAAAATAGCTAAAGCCTGGTTTGGAGGGAAAATACAGGTAAAATATAGGTAAAGCCAAATTAAAAAAAAGATTTAAATTATATGGTATTTTTTTCTCCTTTAAAAAATATAAAATTATTCTAATTTTAGGGAGGTCTCAGTATATTGATTTATTGAAATGAATACATTGTCCATTCTTGAGTGGCCCCTTGAACAAAATTTAATATTTAGCTGCATCACACCTTTTAAAACTAAGAGCAACACTGAAAAAAGTAAATATCTCCTATTAACACTGATTTTCTTTGTCAGAGTTTATTGTTAGTGTCACCGCAAAATATTCTGGGGTCACAATAGCCATTATTCTAGGCGATTGAGATGAATTCATGTCATCCCTTAAAAAATACATCAGGTTTCTGGATTAACTTTACAGTCGGTTTCTGTTAAAAGGACAACTTAGAATAGAAAATGGAAATCAAAATTATGACACAGTTTTTGCACACAAATGAGATTAGTATAAATATATTTTTGCTTATAAAATAGATTATTTTTGTAGTTATGCTGTAATTTGTAGAAAATCACATATGTATACACATGGAAAGACAAGGAAATCAGTTAATTTATAAATTTTTTTGCAATAGTGTCACTATTATAAGTGATTCTCTGTTAATTTCCTAGAAATGGCCATGTTCTGAGTCTCCCTTTCGAATTATAATGTCTTTTACAGGGACATTCTGTTAGAATCGTGTGTCCCCCTGAGAATCCATTCTACAAAGATGTTATGGCTTTCTTAACACATACGAATCCCCTACTAAAAACCACCAGTTCCCTAGCAAATTTCTATCTGAGATGCAGAGATTTGAAATTCTAAATGAATCAGAGAAATTTTAGTCTTGACCAAGTGAGAACGAAAAATTGGTTTGGCCAATTTAAAATTTAGGGGACTTAAATAATAATTCTCAGAAATGGTTGTTTTTCTAGAATGTCGCTTTTAAAAATACTTCTGAAATTTAATTGACCTATAACTAGTTGACCTATAAATTATGGAATTCTGAGTTGATGGATATATTTCATTAATGAATGTCTTATTTGCATTAAGGAACACTATTTGCTATTATTTAGATAAGAGTAATAACATATGATTTAAGTATAAATATTATTTAGATAGGAAAAGTAAACAATAAATATTTCCTTTCTTTAAAGATGAAATATTTGATGAAATTCTACCTCCCTATCATTCGTCCGTGTAGTGAGATAATTTGACTAAGCTGTCAAGTGAGACAAAGGGGTCAGATAGTTATTCTGATAGGCTATTCGACATGATTTTTACATTGAAATTCATGTGATAAATATTACCTGCAATACACTTCATATTGCTGCCCTCGCTGTCATTTTTCAACTTTCAGTCCTCATCATAAACTTACACGAAATCGAGATGGAAATATAGAGAAAATATTGATTAGCTAAAAACTCCAGTCAGTTGGCCTTGCAACATGATGTGTGCCAAGCGCCTGTGTCATAGGATTGAAATTCGACCAATAGATAAAATGTAATGGATGTAAGTGTCTCAGTTGAGTGTAGCTGTGCCTATTGTGTAAATCTGTGTCGTGATACCTCTTTGATAGTTAAAGCATATTCAGTCTCTCCAAACGAAATCAATACGTCCAGATGAATGGACACACATTCTGTTGTCAGCATTTTTACCCAATCCTTTTGAACGGTTTGTATACAAACTATTTTTCTCATAAGGCAAAGTTGTTTATATTCTTTCATAATGTGGGATTAGATTTTAGAAGGAAAATATACTAATCCGTTTATTCATAATTGTGTTTCTTAAACAGAGAGTGAAAAATAAATCCTTGGAGGATGTGGTTATGTTAAATGTTGACACAAACGCTTTAGAATCACCATTTAATGACTTGAACAACCTGCCGAGTGACGTGGTAAGTCGGAAGGACGTTTTGTAGCAAACGTGTGTGTGTGTGTGTGTGTGTGCGTGTGTGTGTGTGTGTGTGTGTGTGTTTTCTCCTGGATCCTTGAATTGCAAGAGCTATTTTCCCCCACTTTTTAAAACTCTGAAATAAAGGGGTCGAGTGTGCACATGGGGAGTGGGAGGAATCGACAGAGATCCGCGTTGAATATTTTTGCCTTTTGGCAGTCAGGACGTTGAATGGGACACCGTCCTCCTTACAGTAAAAGCGGGATCGTAATTTAAAAGCTCGGTGCATTCATTAGGCAGAGGTTCCTTAAACGCGCGTCTCTTCATCTCATCTTAATCATTATATTACAAAGTAGGCATTTCTGTCTGCCTAGTGGCATGTCTTGCAAAAGAATGAGAGTTTTTGAAGGAAGGAGAAGAAGGGGGCCAATTATCGGCTCTGCTTCCCTGCCACCTGCCAGCGCGATTCCTTTTAATTAATGATCTGATGGCACTGGTCAATATAATAAGAAATGCTTGTACAGTTGGGGTCAGAAAATTCTGGCTTTGATCTCCCTCAACTTTCTGAAACATTTATTTGTTTTCTCTAAATTATTTCAGTTTTATTTTTAATCTTTTCTATCCTGCTGAGGGCCGCAAGAATGAAAACCTACACGGTTTGTCATTTGCTTTGGCAGAGCAAAGACTGCTTACTTAGAATTCTATTTGTAAATTAAACTGCAAACCCAGTTTGTCATAAAAGACATCTGATCCTTTTGAAATGACGAAAACTGTCTTTTGTCTGTAAAGGCTGATAAATTAAGTGCCAGCTCGCTCCCGGTCTTTGATCTCGCAGAGGGTTTGTGTGTGTGTGTGCATGTGTGTGTCTGCAGCTTGTAATAGGGTATATTCTGTATTTCATTTTAAATAGTCTCCAAAAGTGTATTTTTTGGCCTTCGTATTCCTTAGAACAGGGCACAAATGCAGACCAGTATTGTTTCTGTATGTATTTCAATGGCTGTTTAAAAATATCTTTATAACATAGTCCTAAGCTGAAATAACTTTCCTTTAAAAAAATCTTTTTCTCGAGGATATTCACATTGGAGAATAAAAAAAATCAACTTCAGAATATATTTTTCTGTAATCTTGCAAGTACCTTGAAATCATTATTAGTGAGTTTGAAAAATTGAATTGAAAAATCTCAAACTCAAAAAATACAGTAATACTAACTTTGATTGTTTTATGGCTAGTAATAGGAAAAATATGATTTTAAAGTCAAACTCAGGTTATTTATGCCTATAAATAACCTATCATACTTGCTGACCTTGAAGCAAATTATATTGAACTACTTTATCTTACTATAGTAAAATGAATGTATGAACAAATCCAAGACCAGGCAAGTGAAGAATTATATTATCTTTTTAGCTCATTATAACTAGATTGCCTCATTATAAAAATTTTGCAGAAGCTGCTAGAAATGATTAGAGTTATTCATTTAGAAATCCATCAAAGTATCCTTCATTGAATAGAGAGAGAATTATGAAAATAAAGTTCCAACTTTCAAGAGTGTTTTCCTTATGTGCATGTATTTCCTACTGTAATGCCCTAAGGAGAAAAGATTGTTTATTTTAAAAAAGAAGAAGAAAGAGGAAGAAAAAAGAGAAAGAAATCAGCTTTGCTGTGTGTCATATTAGAATTTTTGTAGTCAGCTTCAACGATAGCTCATTCTTTCTTTGAGAAAATCTTTAATGGCAATTGTTTCGTTAGACGTTTCTTTTTTAATTAAAAAGTACTACTTCCCTGGTAGAATTAGTTTGATATTAACACATTTGTTTAAACAGATGAAGAAGTTAAACACAATTCACAAAATGTAAAAGCCTAACTATCTAAAATGACAGGAGGGACTACCTTATAAGCCACAAATAATTAGAAACGACTGAAATACGAAAAGATGCTCATGAAATGAGACACCGGTATAGATATAATGACATGTGTGCCTGAAATGGAGGGCCACAGACTTACGGACAGATTTGAAGAAGAATAAAATTGAAAGCTCTGAGGGGGACTGTTTACCAAGAATGGGATGCTTTACGTTAGAGCCATATTCTTAAAAATACTTTAGGTGATTGTTAAACCATCTCTAACAAATTTAGTCCTATCATCGGTTTTCCGAAAGCTACCTCTTAGAATCCTGTAAGAAACAGGATAAAGTATCGAGACGTACTGTCTATAATTACCAATGTTTTCAGTGAGGCGCGTTAAAAACGCAAATGATCTTACCGAATTTTTTTTTTGTGGTTTGAATGAATGAAATACACTTGAAACCGGAAAAAATATCGCTATCGCTATTGTTCGATTATTTAATAAATTAACTGATATTTAAGCGAGGGCCTTTTAAAAGCACGCCGAGGCACTCAGATTATCCTGACAGGCTCTAGATGACTCTTGCTGCATCGGCTTGACCAGTGGACTTGGCTGTTCAAAGGTCAGCGGTCACAGTTGTCCTGCATTACTAGCCTTTTTTTTCCTGCGGACCCTCTGCTGTGTTGCATGCTGTAATCTTCTTAATGGCTTCATTCCAATATTCACACATAATATTTTAGATTTATTGACTGTTAGGAATAGTCCCATGCCAGCAGCAGTTCGGCTACTCCTAAAGTCTTTAAAATTGGAAAAATAAATCAGGGCAAAGCTCTCAGGAATCCTTTGTTTTCTTTAAGGGCGGGGAAAAAAACTCTCTTCCTGTCCCCTGACAAGAACACTTGTTTTTCGATTTCATCATTTCACTATAGATTTGGATCATTAAAAGAAAAAAAAGCACAGATTTTATTGGGAGTGATTTTAACGGTATCGATTATTACGTGGAATAACTTTGAAAAGCAGTAGATTCATTAAAATATACTCTCGTAGTTTTTTTCTAAGAACACGTTGTGATTTTATTTTTTATTGGCCATGCCAAATATAGATACCTTCGAATATATGTGGTTTGAAGTCTTTTGAAATTAAAAAAAGGTACATTTTAGGGCAATGCAATAATATCAATTGAAGTTAGTGTTATTGTGGTATGTTTTTAAGTGCGAGGAAAAAAAAAGAAACGGTTTGATTAAATATAGCATTTGACATCTCAAAGAAGTTCATTTTAATTTAAGGAAAAAAAAATGCACTGAGACTCCCCATTCCAAATATATATAGATTTAGTTTCAATTACATACTAATTTAAAACGTTGTATTTCTAAGCTACTACTGCTCATGTTAATTTTTATCATCATTAACAGTTTTTAAAGTGATTTTGACAATTGCTACTCTTTCAAAAATAAATAGGGCAACCCACTTGTTGGAAAATTAAGCTAATTAGAATTATAATGAGATTAAGAAAACCTGTCTTCATGTGAACATTAAGTTAAAACAATGGCAAACTAACTCTTACACACGAAAGCAGGTTTGAATTGGCATCTGCAAAAGTTACATGCATTAGAAGATTCAGGAACGTGAATTCTGACCTATGTTGCTTAAATAATTTTAACTTACTAGGTTATAAAAAGTAATATACTCTTAGTCAGACTAATGCACTCATCCTTCTTTTACATGAGGTGATGAAGGCACAGAAAATAGACTGCTAATAGCGTTTCTAGAGCTTTAATTTTTATAGGTTTTGATCCTCAGACTTTCGCCCCAAACGCTACAACACGGTCCCTCTCACATAAATGTGATATCCAGTGTAATGATAACTCTTTTAAGATTTCATATAGGAGCTCACTCTCCATTCTAATCTTGTTAAAGAAATATGACCTCTTTGATTTAAATTAGAGTTTTCTGAACTGTTTTAAACACTCGTTTTCATCTTGTAGATAATAATACTGGAAAATGCTTTTCTATTTTCTATTATGAGGGTGTGTAGAAAATATAGAACGTTTACGAGCTATTGTATAATTCACTCTAAACCAGGTTATGTTATGTATGGGATAGGTACTTTTGGTATCAGGCATATGTAATTACTAAAACGTTGACGAGACCTTATTTTAAAATGGAGTCATTTAAAATATCATGCATCTTGTGAGGTTTTCAATCTATTCCATGAAGGAATAGATTGTTTTTATTGTGATATGGAAAGGAAAGGCATAAATTGCTCTGAATTACCAAAAATCGTTAAAAGCCTAATGAAGGAGAGGGGGGGAGAAAACCCCCAAAACTCTAACTTTAAATAAAATTTTATACAGTTGCATTCAAGTGAGTTAATTTGGGAATAAATTTGGAGAAGAACTGGCTTTTTCAGATAATTTTTTAAATTAGTTTAAAAAAATTAAGTATGTAAACAAATTTAACTCCCGACTATGCAGATAGTCAATAGATAGATTTAATTCATTGGGTATTTAATCTAACATGAAGGTTTAATATGTTAAATCATCATAATGCATGTTATAAAGGGGGGAAAAAAAGGCCCCAGAGACTATTATATTAGTTCCAGGCTTGCCACAGCTCTGCTCTAATCCTTATTGTGTTTAACGGTAAATGGAGTCCTCAGAAATTTCTAGAGTGGCCAGGTTAGAAAGGTAACACAGTTTCCTCCAGGTTCTAGAGTAATCTGGAGAACATGTTTTTAGATGAATAGAGTAGACTTCAGGCGACAAACACCGCTTTCAGTCGGCCCCTGGGGAGAGGCGGTCAGAGAGGCAGTCATGCCTCCCTCAGCCTTCAGCTCTCAGAACTCGGCCACCTGGCCGTGCACCCCGCCGGCCACCAGCCTGGGTGCAGTGCTTTGTGACAATCAGGCATTCAGTAAGCGCCCGGCGAAGGGACATAGAATCGCATTTCTTTTATCGTTTGTAATAGAAGTTGCTTTTAAAGTCCCCGTGCAGAGTTACGTCCTAGAACATTTCATAAGAATATTTTCATCTGACTTTCAGAGTCATGAAAGGGAGAGACTTGGAAGCATGTTTAATATCTAGTTTTTTTTGGCCGTGAGTGCAACTTTTTATGTACATGGAGACCGCGCCGTGGTGGCTGTCACTGTGTCTCTGCATGCTG